TCTCCTCCGCAGCGGGCTGGTGCGCGGCCCCAGAGGCGGCGGTGTCGCTGCAGACACGTAACCCGCCACCTCTGGTCGTTGCGCAGAGGCGCCGGCGGTACCGGGGCCGCTGTAGGAGCCGTTTGAGTCCTTGACTTGTGCGCCGCACAGGGGACGCGCTGCGAGCTTTCCACACCGCCATGCGCAGCTCCCCGGCCAACGCCAGGAGCCAGGCCATGAAGGTACCGGGGCGCGGGCCGGGCGGGGGGCTCCGCAGAGGGTCGCTGGGGAGCTGCGGAGTGACGCGGCGCTGCCCCGAGGTCCCAGTGGCACCCCAGCGCTGATAGCGGGCGGTACGGCAGTACAGCGGCTGTGCTGCAGAGGCGATGCCCTTGTGTTCACCCCTTCCTCCTCCTCGCTCCTGAAACCTGCAGTGAAAATCGCTCACCGAGTTGGCTACAGAACTAAGCCAGCATTTAGTGTCACCACCGGCCCTCTGAGCACTTGGTCGAACACCAGTCTTGGGATCGTTTCCAACTTTGCTGGTTCTCATGTTATTCTCCTTTCCTTGCCTTTGCAGGAGCAGGCCCAGGGAACTGTGCTTAAAGTCCTCACGTCTTTTAAAAGCAGTGAAATAGAACAAGCAGTGAATTCGTTAGACAGAAATGGCGTTGACTTGTTAATGAAGTACATTTATAAAGGATTTGAAAAGCCAACAGAAAATAGCAGTGCAATATTACTTCAGTGGCATGAAAAGGTACGTGTTTGGTGCTCTCTTGGCTGAGCCACGCTCCTTTGTCAGTGCTTTCACCAGAGTCCCCGCAAGAGCAGCCCATGGTGGCTGGGACTCATCCCCGAGGAGCACAGTAACTGGTATTTCCTTCTGTCTTTGGTCTCTGAGCTTGGACTCGTTAAGCCTTTGCCTGTATTTCAAACCTTACCCTCAGCCAGGGGGAGAGATGAGACTCGTGGCAGGGCAGCGTCTACTGGAGGAAGCATTGCGCTTTCTGCGCCTAATGAGTGCAGCGGCCCCACCGCAGAGAAGGAGCTGGGAGTGGAGTTGTGCTTGGTTGACCGGTGTAGCTGGCAGCATTCCTTTGGGGCCAAGTGTTCGGCCGTGGGGGTGCTCAGGCTGGCTCAGGCCTCACGTACAGAACCACAGAATGGTGGGGGTGGGAAGGGACCTTCGGAGATCATCTAGCTTGGCAGTTTTCACCAGCAGAGTGCTGCTATCAGCCTGTCACAGGATTTAGCAAACCTGTTTGGTTTTCCACTGAGATGTGGAGCGGTTCTTGTGCGTTTCTGTGAAGTGCCTGTGGTGAGCCGGGGAGGGAAGGATGTGTTCATCAGCCGACGGCTGAATGTTCCCTCTCTCGGAGGGATGAGGCACGTGGAGCAGCTGCTCTGTGCCACGGCCCCAGGCAGGAATCTCAGTGAAATCTTCCCCAGCTGTGGGGTTTTAGCTGCAGCGCTGGCTGTCAGTGCTCCTCCTAGGAAAAATGATCCCCAGGAATGCTGCAGCTCCCTGTACCACCGGCACAGCAGCAGTGCAGCCGGCCGCTAGTGCTGGTGCCCTTTTCACAAAGTACAGGTTTTTTCCTGTGGCATGCAAAGACAGAACTCGTGCAGGGTGACTCCAGGTATTAGCAGCTGTTGCCGGCTGGTCAGAACCTTCACAGGAGAGGAGGAGGGAATTTCTCAGGACAGCGAAGAATATGTTTCTGCTTGATGTTTTTTTCTTTTTTTTTCCTGTTGTTGTTCCCACTGGAGACTGTTTTCAGGTAACCATGGGTGGGTGCTCCCAGTGTGTAACGTTACACAACCCCACCCTGACTGGAAAGATGACAGTGCTCAGAGCATGTAGGCACACGTAGAGCATCTCGTCCTCTTTGTTTCGAAAGAACAAGGCAGGTCTGAAGTAGGCTGGGCAGGGTTTAAAACCTTGCTTGTGTTGTGCTTTTTGGCACTACCGGTAAGACGTGGTTTGCTCAGAGAGGAGTCAGCTGCTCACTAGTAGTACCAGTCTGTCCTCTGGAAAAGGGCTGTTGTCCCCGTGTATATCAGGTGTGGTAACTCAGGAACGTGCGCTGCGTGCAGGTTCTGCTCCAAGCACACGCTTTGCATTCATCTGTCTCCTGAAGACTGCGAGGTGTCTCACTGTTACCATTGTTCTCGTGTCACACATTGCAATACCCACTGGGCTGTATCTGAATTACGTCTGCAAAGTAAACATGCCTCGTTTTAAGCAGTCAGCTTTAATATTTATTTTTTTCATAATCACATCCATCGTGTTCTGGACTTTAGGAGGATACGTTATTTATGTTGAGGGATGCAAATGAAACTGAAACCAGCCCTTCCCCCTTTCCCATTCAGGGATATGGGAGGTGAGACATTCTGCATCATCAGTGACATGCGACATCGGTATCCTTCTCTAGATCCAAAAGATGGTTAGATTTTGGAGAATGCAATTTTCCCTTCAGATTTAGTGGTATATGGGTTACTAAATTATTGTATTTGGTTTTGTCTGCCATTCAGTCCCTTTGTTCTGATGTCATGGAGTATATTCATAGAATAGTACTATGTATGTACTGCAGTAATTTAAGGCAAAGATCACTCTCACCTATATTTACAGAGGGGGAGTGAGGCACAAACTTCCCAAGATCGGAACAAGCAAGGATCCCAGTTCAGGTCCGAGCTCCCCCCATTAGCCTTTTAACTGTCAGCCCCAGTCACTCGGAGCACACCTCGCCACGAGGAGCCAGTGCGCCAGTGTAGCCCTTGTCACCGCAGGAAGGCAAAGGCGTCGGCAGGGTAGAAGGCACCTGCAGAGACATGAAGAGGTGGAGCAACCCCAGACCTGTGTTTCCTGTTCTGGTGGCAGCAGCCAGCGTGGAGAGCTGCGTTGTGGTGTGGGGCTGTGAGTGCTTTGTACCTGGAGAACCACGGCTGCCCGGCCCGGCGGGCTGGGGGCAGTGCAGCTTCATCACGGAGACATGGCACTGCACGATACAGTTTAGCACCTAAATGAAACGACTTAAAATGTCTTTAATGTCTGCCGTGTGCTAGAGAAGGCAAATAGATTTTCCCCAATTAACTGTTTTAAAAATTTAGAGAAAAGAAGGGGTAGAATGAGGTGGAACAGCCCAAGCTGCCTACGTGTGAAAAGTAAGTTTTTGGAGAAGAGCCATGTACTCCTCTGTTATTAAACACTTAATTGCTTGTTCTTTTAGGATGCCTTTTGCCCATGATGCAGTGACTCTGTGTAACGCCTCTCTCCTTTTCCCGTCCCCACAGGCATTAGCAGTAGGTGGACTAGGTTCCATAGTAAGAGTTCTTACAGCAAGAAAGACTGTTTAAAAGACTATTAACTTGAACCAAGACGACGATCAGTTTTGGACTCAGAAGAAGGAATTAGCTGACATGACACTGGTCCATCTTCATTAGAGATTGCAATCTACTGAAATACTATGGAAACCTCCTCTTGGAATGCTTTTAACCTTAAAGGTGGGGGAAGAGTAAAGGTATTCCTGCATATTCCGACTATCAAATCCAGGAGCCAAGACATTCTCCTGATCCCTTCTTTAAAAGGCAGAGAGAAGGCACACTCCTGCCTCCTGTTACTGTAAGAGAACAGGTGTCTTCAGATGCTGCTTTATCGAAGTGTGTGAAAAAAGATCCTGTGTGTACTGCTTATTTAATAGGTAGCAACGTCCTTGGCAGATGAAAGATCCCGACAGCGTACGGGCAGGAGAAGTGGCTATTAGAACGACGGTTTTGTACATACAGTCGAAGGACTAACTGGACCATGGGGCTGGTTTCATTGTAAAGTGCCTGCTGCATCAATAAAGTTCTTGGATCATGAGAGTTAAGTAATTTTATTTTTTACTAAATAATAAGCCTGACACTTACTCAAAAGCAGGCCAGCA